AAAAGAAGAAGAACACAGATAACCGTTAGGTAAAAACTTTACCAGAGATAATGAAACATAGTTACGAGGATTACAAGCATTTTCGAGTGTTCGATATGATTTGCGATTCTGTCCAAAGGTATACAAGAGAAAAAAACTAATAGAAAAGAGACGAGGAGATATTGAAACCAACGGGAAAAGAAGAAAGTACGTTCTGAATGAAAACAGGTAGTTTTAAGAGGGGAAATCAAAAATCTCCTTCGAGAGCGATGGTCGTATATATATTATACATAAACACTGTTGTAAATAACTAATTAACGAACGCGCGTTAAGTGCAGAGAAGCGAGAGAAAAGTCGGGTAAATAGGGACATCGACGTAAGTAAAACGTTCTAGTGTACTACTAAAATCGTGTCGCGTAAGTTTAGGCGAGGAAGCGTTGGAAAAGTGAAGAGAGTGCGGATGTCACGCGCGTGCTTGCACAACAGTTGTTTTTCCTTTGTCTCTTTATTGTACACTGTCGAAGAATTAGACGAGAGAGAATGATGGGAAAGGGGACACGAGGGTGGCCGGCAGCTATTCCCCGATCGCAAATCCTGTGAAGATGTCCAAAACGAAAAAGTATTGCTTGTATTGTACGATCGTAGGTTTTTCTGTACATATTGTATAATCCATGTATAAACTGAACACGACTCCGCTAGTTAACAAAACCTGTCTCATTGTAGTTAAATTACGTTACGAATCATTATATCTATATCACTTCAACAATAAACAATTATTATGAGGACCTGTTGCATTTGACAATATTCATTTCTGTTTTTAATTCTCGTTTCGACGAATTCGATTGTTTTAAATTTTATAATTGTTAGTCGTTGGCAAATAAAAAATTGTTTGTTTTGTTACATTCGTTTTAATGGTAAAACTACAGACGAAATATACGCAGAGATCTATCAAATTCTGGACTCATGATTCTCACATTCGAGTGCCATACTGAAACGAAAAATTAAGGCTGACTTGCACATAATTTATATGAGTGATTAATTAAAAAATTATCACTTAATAATGTGTTCCCCAGGAAGTCTCGTTTCCTGTCCGTTCCATCACTATCCCAACGAAAGTGAATCACATATCCTTAGTTTGATGTAACATTTATTAGCACATACCCTCAGGATTGGTCATTTGGTCATTTGCTCAAAGATCGTGAAATAAGAATGCCAAGATTTGTCATTCTGTGATATTATTAAAGGAGTTTAGAAAATATCTTACTTTAACGTTGATCCATTAACATTTTGCCTGAAGTATCATTTTATCATTTCCTACTTTTAAACATTATTATTTATTTCATGCAAATATATATTGCCACCGAGGAGAGATTACTAAAGAGCGGCAACGCCTCTGTTAACGCGCGGCCCGAAAAAAGGGTCCAAGAGGGCTCGAACCGGCAAGGTAGATTTATGAAATCCCACAGAATGACT